AACCAATGACGAAGGACCCTAGAACTAAAAAGACCATTAGAAAAATCTTCATCGCCATTGAATTTCTTCTTCAACGGCACTAAAGATTGATGATGGACTAAAAACTTTTAGAAACGGCCTCAATCTCCCCTCAAACTTCTTAAACAAAGTCAAGCAAAACTGATCCAAAAAATCGTCATTATCTCCTACCACATGTGCATCCTATTCCCTGAGAAGGAATAGAGAAGTATAAAGGGGAAGTGGAATTTATGGCCATAGTTATAGCTTAAGACAAAAAACAAGTGGCCTTCATCTGAAAATTAAGTTTAGCATACACAATAAAGTAAAACAGCAGCATCACCAGAATGTAGAACCACCAAGATGGCATTAAAAAGTGTGCATTACTTACAGTGGATAGCCTGGTACAAGTGACATAATCAAACAATGTCGATTGCAATCGACAGCATTTGGAACAGGGAATCCATGTTCTTCTAGTGCCTGCTTACACGAGCACTAAATATCAAAACAAATATCCAAATTCAAGGACAATTAGTGTTGTCAAAGGAGAAAAGCGTTAAAAATGCTCCAGGTCTATCAAAGCTTTGCGCAAAGCGCAACTAAAGTGTGAGCTTAGTTAAAAAAAAGTGCAACTAAGAATTCATGGCAATGAGACACACGCCTTAGAACCTTGCCTACACTGAAGAGCAGCCTAAGAGGGGGGAAGTGCCTACGCTGAGCTTCTTTGAGCTTCAGATATTAAGCACGCCTCAAATGAGCCTTTGACAATACTGAAGACGATAAGGCAAGTTAGAGAAGTGCAATCACCTTCATAAATGCAAACTCTTTCAAGGCAGCAAGCCGCGATAAGTAGAGCCAATTATAGCTGCTACGATGCCTCAAATAGTCACGTTTTGCTTTGACTGAACTAAATGAAACCCTACCGAGCCTGCGTAACTTCATCGCAAGAACTGTGCCATCTTCCTTTACGACCTCAAAAATATCTATTGGAAAAATGGATAGTTAAGAACATGAAAGTGTAAATCACAAAGTAACAAAAAAAAGTAGTAAAATACAAGAATATACAGATAAAAGAGTGCTACCAGACTCTTTCCCAGTGCCAAGTTGACGACCCACTCCACTAAATACACCACGATTAACCATGGTTTTTATTGCAAGAAAATCGTAACCAAGGTAGGTGAGTCGAAATCCATCATCTATACAGCAACGTTAAGAAACAAAATTCAGAAGAAATGACAGCTCACAAAAAAGGGACAAACAAATAGTAAAAAACAAAGGAATAAAAAGCACTCACATTTAGAAGCATCATGATGGACTAATTTGTGCTTTAGCAAATTCTTCAACACTTTATTTGAGCCCCCATGCCTATATAATTAAATATAATTAAAAGAAGAAAATAAAAAAATTACTAACATATCAACGCAACAGCAGACAATATACTCCAATTAAGGGAAACGAAAGAGGACTAACATGAGGGAAGCAATACGGTCAATGAGCTCAGAAGGCAGATCATCCAATCCTTCTTCTTGAGCCTTTTAGAGGGCTTTCGGATAGTTCAGTACCGGCTATCGGTAAAAGAAGCATATGCCTCTAACTCAGTTGATTCCCTATATGGTAATGGTAGGTATGCCGGTACCCTTTTTTTGGTTCAACCACAATTTCATGCTGGAAAAAGAAAAAAAAAGTAAACAAAGAAGGATTATAAACTGAAAAGAAAAAAATTAAGAAAGTAAATAGAGTGAAAAATGGAAAGGGTAGAGACATTGCGCATGCCCATCTCAACGGCAGTGAGGACCCGAAAATCATCTTTGGAAAGGTATCTCAAAACGTTAACATCCAACTTCATCTTCTTTGCCTCTTCTGTTGCTTGTATACTGGAAAAAGAGAAGGATTTTTATTAGCGGTAAGCACTACTGTGCAGCAACAGACAAGTATAAACCCTAAACTATTTGTTTGGACAAAAATATAATTTTGGGAAGAAGGAAAACTTCATGGAAGTTGAGTTTTGCTTTGACCTGCGATTCGTAAAAATCTGGCTATTTCTCCTGAGCCTTTGGGTGTTCCTGTTCATGTGTCCACTCATGTGGGCGATTCTGTGGTTGTGAACCGGGTCTACCAATCTTGTGTGGTTACTTTCTGTGGTCTTGAGACTAGAGCAGATCTCCTGTTGCTCGATATGATCGATTTTGAGGTTATTCTGAGCATGGATTGGTTATCTCCATATCACGCCGTTCTAGATTGCCATGCCAAGACTGTTTCTCTAGCGATGCCAGGGTTGCCGAGATTGGAGTGGAGGGGTTCCACCGTGGATACACCTAGCAGGGTCATTTCCTTCCTGAAGGCTCAACGCATGGTTGAGAAAGGGTGTTTGGCCAACTTAGCTTATGTTCGAGACACCACCGCAGAGTCTCCGACGATTGATTCAGTGCCAGTAGTCCGAGAGTTCGCCGATGTTTTTCCTTCTGATCTTCCTGGCATTCCTCCGGATCGTGATATTGATTTCTGTATTGATTTGGCTCCAGGCACTCAGCTTATATCTATCCCTCCGTACCGTATGGCTCCTAGGGAGCTGAAGGAGCAGTTGGAGGAGTTGCTAGCAAAGGGGTTTGTTAGGCCCAATGTATCGCCTTGGGGTGCACCAATGCTATTTGTAAAGAAGAAGGATGAGACTATGCGGATGTGCATTGATTACCACCAGTTGAACAAAGTCACCATCAAGAACAAGTATCCATTGCCCCGTATTGATGATTTGTTTGACCAGCTGCAGGGTGCTAGGGTGTTCTCAAAAATTAACCTGAGGTCAGGGTATCATCAGCTGAAGATTCGGGATTCAGATGTCCCGAAGACCGCATTCAGGACTAGATATGGCCACTATGAGTTCCTGGTGATGTCATTTGGCTTGACTAATGCTCCAGCGACATTTATGGACTTGATGAACAGGGTGTTCAGGCCCTATATTGATTCCTTTGCTATCGTCTTCATTAACAACATCTTAATATACTCGCATAGCTTGGGGGAGCACGAGCAGCATTTGAGAGTAGTGCTTCAGACCTTGCGAGAGTAGAAGCTTTATGCTAAGTTCTCCAAGTGCGAGTTTTGGCTAAAGTCAGTAGCATTCTTGGGGCATGTAGTGTCAGGAGAGGGTATTAAAGTGGACCCCAAGAAGATTGAGGCAGTTCAGAGTTGGCCACGTCCTACTTCAGTGACCGAGATCAGGAGTTTCTTGGGGTTAGCAGGTTATTACCGGCGATTTGTGCAGGGCTTCTCATCTATTGCATCACCTCTGACCAGATTGACCCAAAAGGGTGCTCCATTCTGTTGGTCCGACGATTGTGAGGAGAGCTTCCAGAAGCTCAAGACAGCCTTGACCACGGCACCAGTTCTTGTATTGCCTTCCGATTCAGGGATGTATACAGTGTATTGCGATGCTTCTCGCGTTGGCTTGGGATGTGTATTGATGCAGGAGGGGCGAG